TTTTATTATATTTATGCGTTTGTCAAGTAACATCAAGAATAATTTGAATTCGAGATATTTGCTCCATCTCATTAAGAGATAATTAATTACACGAACTTGGAGAATTTCTGGCGTTCTGGTACAATGTCCTGTTGATTGCACAATTTATTATAACGATACATCTTCTATATCGTTAAAGGTACTTACCTTAAGTTAAGAGCAAGAGTGTTAAAATGAAGCAACAAATTAATATAAAATTAATATAAAAAATTACTTTCGAGATGATATTATAGTTACAATTTTTCATTTTACCAAGAAACAAATTCTTAAATCGTGGAAAGTTAATTTATGATCCTAGAACGGGGAAAATTCTACTTAATTTACAAACTTGTTGCTTTAAGTATCTCACAATTCGTAGTAGCACTTCCAGTGCGGAAACTTCACCTAACTAAATGTAAATGATCGGTATTAAATAACTTTTCGTTATCTTAACGATGGAGCCTTCCATAAAATATAATTTAAAGAGAAACGAGTAAATTTGAGCTAAATCACAGTCGATTTATTTCAATTTTACCTTGCGAAACTTTTCATTTCCAAATTTTTAATTCTTCGAATAAAATCAAAAGTAACTTTTTTAACAAAATCAAACACGTACAATTTTCAATTACTCCTTTCATCTTCCCAAGGAAAAAATAAATAAAAATAAAAAAAATCAAAGTTTCAGTAAAATTCATTCGTTCACATTTATCGTAATTCGCATCATGAAATTTTTTTTACATTAAACTCGACACGTATATATACTTCGATCTGGCAATACAATTTGACCTCGAAAGAAAATGTGCAAAAGTTTAGGAAAATCGAGTATGTACAATTTTTAATTATTTTTTTTTTTTATCTTGGCCTCTTTAAAAGAATCGAGCAGACAATTTTCCATTACTTATTTCATTTCCTAAAGTTTCGCTTTAAAATTCGCTCCGTCCATCGAATTTATCTCATTCGAATCGAAAACTTTTACTTCAAGCTCGAGGCGTACAAGCGAATAAAACGTTGGAACGAGTCAACGATACAGTTCGGCCGAAAAACAATGGCAGAAGAGCAATGCAAAGCAGTTACAGGGTTGGTGGAGTAGCAAAACGAGAGTAAAGATGCGGCGAAGATGACGCTGAAAGCTTTTCTTATCTGAATTTCAAGCGCTAGCCTGTAAGAAGAATGTTGTTCTCCTTGTTCCGGCAAGGGTTTCTCGCGCCATTCTCTCTCTCTTTCTCTCTCTCTCTCTCTCTCTGCAAGAAAGTTTCGCGATATCGTCGACGACTAATTAAAGCTTGGAATAAGAGGAGGCAATTACCAGAGCGGTTCCATTTAATTTCGTAGGCCGATTTGAGAAAGGAAGGGAAAGGAAGGAAGTTGGTCGCGGGACACCCGTTATACATTTGCATACGCCAAGCGGCTTGATGTACTCAGAGCATTAGGCGTTAACCCGTTGAAAAAGTAGCCAGTGATTCAGAAATGTCGTGTAAAGTTTGCTTTGAATAATTACTTATTAAAATGCTGATTGAATAGCGTTTATTCGTAGCTATTAGTTGATCTCCTCTTCGGCTCGGCCAATTATCATTACGTTTTGAACAATAAATTATTGAAATAACTTATCGAAGTAACTTTGTTCGTAATTTTGTCCAACTATTAAATTTTCCCCATCACTGGATGTACTTCTTCTTATTTCACTCGATGAAACGAAACTTGTACATTTTCGTGGAAACGAAACTTCATGTATTGGGTCGTGTAATTTCTTGTAAGAATTGTAATATTTTTTTTTAATCGATCTGATATTGGATCAGCTTTTTCTTCTTTTTTGTAATATATCAGGTGTAAAAATAAAATAGATACTTTTATTCTTATTTTAGTTGATGGGTTGAAATTTATATATCTTGACTCGAAGTTTCATTTATATTTACAATTTTTTTTTGCGAATATTGCTTTTTCTAATATTTTTTTTTTTTAGTCATTCTGACGTTGGTTCACACTTTCTCTTACAATAGTTATGGAATTAATTCGATGCTTTTTCGATGTAAATTTTACAAATTCTACAAATTGAAGGCTTGTTTATTCTTTCTTTTACAATATATTAGGTATAAAAATTAATTCTTTTGGTGGTTTTTAAAAAAGTAAATTTCGAGAATTGTATAAATTAAATTTTACAGAATGGTTTTAAATCGTATTAAATATTTCAAAATGTTCGTAATAACTTTTTATTTCTTATTCAGACAACAGAAGGATTGTTATGTTATAAGAAAAAGAGCTTATACAACGGATGCGGAAAGAAACTTTGGTGCACATTTTTTTTTCTTTTTTTTTTTTTTTGAATGCTCTTGAACTTTCCACGAACTAAGGCAGTGCACGTTTCCAGGAAGAGTTGTATTCGAGGTTATAGATTCAGTTGCCAGACCGACACTGATATTTTCCTTCCTTTAAAGTGCAAAGATAATTTTTACCATTTAAAAGTAATGGAATCTTTTATTTTAAAATAAGATCTCGAAATTCGATATTATTGTGTATTTAAATTATTGCAAAAACAAACATTTAAATTTTATTGTTAAATTCTATTTAATTTCGTAAATTGTGTGTAAATTTATTATTATATCGCGTACGGGTATTAAGGTTTATATTTTGAGATTGAATAAAATTTATTCCGATGGTTTATCTAAATTTTCAAATGACTAAGTTTTGAAGTGATTTCGAAACTTGGATAAAGATAATGAATATCGTTGGTTCGTTCAACACTGACGTCATTTGAAGTTATTTTGTATAATTACAAACATAATGTGCCTTCAACCGTATTCTGGTTCCATGAAAACATGTTTATCACATTTCAATTATCTAGTTAAATAGCGACAATTATCATTCAAAATTTTTATTTTTATTGCTAAAGTAAATATTTATAATTAATCGCGTACAATCAAGAAATGCTTAATATTTATTTTAAATTTGAATTGAAGAAAAAAAAAAATTAAAAAATAAATATATTATGATACAAATTTTACACGAGAAAGATAAAAATTAATTAAATTCATAAAAATACGTGATATACATACGCGAAAAACTTTATCGATAAATTACATATATATTTATAAAAATATGTGTTACGTAATATGAATATATTATTTCAGCGAATTAGATAAATTGAATGAAACTTACTATTAAATATAAAAATTAAAGCTTAAAGATAGATCAATTATAATTTAATTGGATCTTGAAATTTTGGGTAATTCAAAAAAACGTTATATTGAATTAGATACGCGAGAATAATATTTCAATTAATTTCAAATCAAATTACGATGAAATCGACAAATTGTAACATTTGATACCCTCGAAAGAGAAATTTTTCATCACTCCCATACAAAAGTAATTTTACAGACAATGCTGTATCGGCAATTTGGAAATCGGTATATTTTTCAATCGAACTCTGTGCGGGAATGTGAAAAAAGCACCAATGCTGGATTCTTCTCCATTTCTCCATTCAATTCCTTCCTTTTCAACCTGAACGCCAACCTTCTCGTTTCTTTCTCCAGCGCATTTCTTAATAATGAACCACTTTAATCCGGCGCACCAGAAAATACCAGCCTCTCGTATCTCTAAATCTCGAGTGTATCGACGAAACGAGATGATTAATCGGTACTGCGATTAATTAATCAATATATAATTCGATAAATCTCCCATATCAGCGCTTCAATATTGTATCAATTTATAATACTGATTTCTAACAATTTAAAAATAAATCCTTTTTTTTCTTATTAGACAGTACTGTCACGAGTATTATCACGAAATAAATTCCCCCCTATCTATAACATAAATCGAAAGAAGTTATTGAACACTAAGCTACACTAAAAATATCGTTCTTTCGTCATAAATGTACAAGTTTATTGTATTTTATTTATCAGTAGCTTTTTACCATTTTTACTATCGGCTGTTGTGTTATTGTGCCTGATAATTTCGATCGGCTACAATAAATTCTTTGTTAATTATTCAAAATTATTGCTAATTATTCTTACGATAACAAGGATAACGCGAGATTGAAATTTTCAACGCGTTCACTCATCTCGCGACGAGAGACAGAAAATTCACGCTGGACTAGAAGAGAGACGAGCGAGAAGCCAGTTCCAAAAATACGAGTAGGACCTGAAAAAGTCGTTTGACGTCAGACGCGTTGTGCGTGCGAGACTGCATAAAGCGGTGTACACAATCTAGAAACGCGCGCACGCGAAATTTTTGGAAGCTCGCATCACTCATCCTCGTGATATATACCGATTCCAGTATTGAAAACCATTCTGACGTTGTTATCTGAAACGAGATATCGATATCGTTGGCTTTCATTGTGAGGGTAGCTTAATCGGTGTTAGACGAGGTTGGAAAGGGAAAATAATTTGGCAGTCATCGGTGAATCATTAGAGACAAACGTTTTGTAACCACTGCCAGGTGAATAGATTAAAAGTTATCGTATGCAAGTGCGTTCATTATTCGTTCATCACGATTATATTTGCTCGCTCGAATGATATTTAATGCATTTTCTTTGTACACACTTTATATAAAAATTTTATAATTTGATAATTAATAGATTTAATTAATAGATGTTTTATCTCGAGTGTTGAGAAAGTGTGCGTATAAGAATAATAGATAATGGAACGATTAACGTTTCAAAAAATAACGATACAACGATAATATAACAATTTACGATTCGTATCGGATATTTCATCGCGCGATATATTAACGTTTAAAATATTATTATTCAGTTACATTTTATGCTATCTTTAAGCAAGTTCAAATTACAAGTTTTTCGATCTTAACTCGATCCAATCCATTTCTCGATAAATCGAACTCGCCATTTCTTTGATCCCCACCTCGTGATCGCAATGAAGTTCCTATTTGCGATTATAGTGATTGCTTGTGCGGTACACGATGACGCCAGTGGTGCTAGAATTTTGATGGTGACCCCGCATCAAGCGAAAAGTCATTACATAGTGTACGAGGCGTTGTTGAAGAGACTCGCGGAGAGGGGTCACCAAGTGGTGTCGTTCAACCACTTTCCTCAGAAAACAGTTTTACCTAATTTCACGGATGTCGATATATCTTCAAGCATGCCATGCGTGGTCGGTACAAGGTCGATCGAGCTTGCCTTCTGGCAAACCATGCTGCAAAAGTTGAAAACAATATCCTTCATAAGCTCGGAAACGTGCCGATCCGTGCTGGAACATCCGGAAGTGAAGAAATTGCTGCATTCGAAAGAGAAGTTCGATATCTATATTATGGAAATCTTCTTTTCCGACTGTTTTATCGGTATCAGCCACGTTCTCAAAATACCAATTGTGGTTGGAATAAGTAGCACCGTTTCCTATCCATGGAACAACGAGATTCTTAGGAATCCTGAAATCCCTAGTTACATCCCCAACACGATTTTAAGTAGTTTTTCGGACGAGATGAATTTCTTCGAGAGAGCCACCAATTTGATGTACTTTTTTATCAGCAAACTCGCCTATAGGTATGTCAAACGAATCGACAGTTTACTTTTCCCTTCTTTCTTTCTTCCAGATCCCAATTGTTGTTCAATCACTCTCATTCCTTGGCCAAATCTAGATCCCTCTTGAAACGTTACATTACACGTGCTTTAGCAACGAAGCGCCGTTTCTTAATTTTAATTCAAATATATCTCGTCATCGATCCTTTCCACTTCCAAATGAATCTATTTACCCTCTATTTAAGGCGTAATATCCAAACGATATCGTAATACCATTAAGATCCGATCCTCATCATAAACCGTTCGATGGCAAATGGCGGGCTAATTGCCTCTGACTATCGGCCTATCTAAATTCCCTGTTGCTCGTAGCATAGAACGGATCTATCAGATCTCAATTTTCCAAATTTGCACAAGTTTATACACCAGTTTATATAATTTAAACTCGATCTTCCAAAAGATGTCACAATATTCGAAATCATATCAACCAGCCATCTAATTTGCCGCTCACTCGATTAATTCGATCGATTGATCAATTTTTCGACTCGACTTTCTCTTCAGGTATTTAATGGACAAGCCAGGTTACGAGATCGCGAAGAAACACTTCGGCGACGATCTTCCGAACTTGGACACGTTACGATCGAGGATATCGTTGATACTGACGAACGGGCACAGGACAACCAACACGCCACGAGCTCTTGCACCGGGATTGAAAGAGTTGGGCGGTATGCACATACCAGCCTCGGGCCCGCCTCCGTTGCCCAAACATCTTAAGGATTTTCTCGACTCGAGCGAGGACGGGGTCATTTACTTTAGCCTAGGATCGCAAATAAACGTGTCCACCATGCCCAACGAGATGTTAACGTCTTTCTACGAGGCGTTCGAGCGGGTACCGCAACGGATATTGTGGAAGTGCTCCGAGAGGAATATGCCCAGACTGCCCAAGAAAGTTAAGTGCATCGAATGGGCGCCCCAGCTCTCCATATTGTGTACGTATTCTTTTTCCTTTCCGCGTGGCGTTGAGTTTAACCACGTAAGAGGGATATTTTATTACTGTAGAAAAAAAAAAAAAAAAAAAAAAAGAAAGAAGAAAAGAAACTGTTGGAGAAAAACTCGCAGGCGCTTTTACGCATGGCTTTCGGACGATTGTTCGTGTTGTTCATTTTCAAACAGATCGTTTTTTCGATAAGGATAATCGAATATCAAAGGTCGATAACGAAGGAGAGAATTATCTATGCAATTGTGGCTTAATAGACTGCGATTAAGCAAAAATTGTTAAGTACAATGAAAGATAAGAGGTATTTATTTTAAATGGATTTTAAAATATTCATGGAAGATATAAATTTAATGGCGAATGAATCGATATCGTATGTAGAAATATGATTCATTCTTGTTTGATAATTCGTTACAACGGTATGTAATATAAAATGTGTAAAATGTGTTTCGATCGATGATAAATGTTTTAATTCGTGTAACGGTTTAATCTTAAATCATCGTCCTCGTGTATCGTCCCTGTTTGCATCTGCGGGACAATATTATATTCTCGCGTGTAATCGACGATCCCATCTATGATTCAAGATATCGAGCCCCGAAATCGCATAAAATTGCACATTTAAATTATGCATTAACGTTAAATAACTTATAGACCAATTTTAACCGAATATCAACCCTTCGTTATACATATTGTACGCCGCTTATTGTCAATAATCCTGTTCCGCGCAATCAGATATAACCGTCGGTTTATTTTATAATAATATCCGTGCATTTTACCTCTAATTACCTCTAAACTTTGATACACTCGCAGTTCGACATTAAGTGCAGATTTGATTTAAATTTTATGAAAATCCCGCGTGGAATTTATAAATCGAGAAGAGAAAGAAAATGAAGATTTTATATATTGAAAAATATCGGAAAAATGGAATCGCGCCGAGTACAAAATTTCATTAAAAAGAAAAAAAATGATATGATCGAATTCAAATATCGAATCAAGATTATTTAAATCATTACACGTGTTACATTTAACTCTGTTCGTTTATCTTGAAACGAGACTACTAATAAATCTTAAAAGCTCCAACTTTTTCCTTTTTGTCTTCTTTATTGCAAATTCAATGGAAACGTGTACACATAGTTTTAAAACACACATAAAGCATTCTTTATACGGAAGCGAATTAATCCCTGAACCTTGAAAAATCAGGTTAAGTGCACCGCCGTTGTCGAGAAACAAATCTGAAAAAACAACTTGAAACTTTATTCCCTCCGAGATTTTCTCTCGAAAATTAGCTACTTCCCTATAGGGGAAAGAACCAGACCTTAAACGGGCGGAATAATTACAATTTTTTTTTTTTTAATTTTAAAAGATGTTAAAAAGTTATTGTCAAAGATTATTATGCTATCGTATTATCATTTCTTATCCATTTCTTTTTGCGAAATAAAAATCTGTTTCAATCGAGATTCATCGAGTGAATTTATTTAATGAAATTATTTAACGCGCCATGATTTCGTCGCATCATTCTACAAATGCGTCACGTTCGAAACGTTATATATATATAGAGAGAGAGATCATATACGATTCAGAATTTACTACATCGTAAATAGGGAGCAAGTTATATATAGGAGGAGATGAATAATGTGCGAATTAGGGCAGGATTAAATTTAGGCCAGGTCTAGGTTAAATCTTGGGATGGATCCAAACGCGTTACCTGCACGCGTTCCATTTCGTATGCCGTTAGCAATCAGATCGCTTTGTGTGCAAACGATCGTTGTTCCACTAATTGATTTATATTCACAAACGAAATGAATTGTTGACAAATTATTATTAATTCCTCGTTAAATTGATCTTGTCGAGGATTTACATATGTAAAAAAAAAAAGGATATTTAAATTATGCATTTACGAAAAATAAAAACGTTAGAAAATCTATCAGAATGTAAACGTGTGAAAAGAAATATCGAAAGCAAAGTATACAACAGGATAGAAAAATTGGGGAGGAAACAATAACGATAAATAATAAATCACCAAGTAATGATTAACGTTCCCTTAACAGTTCCCTTCGAATTTTATATATTTTTGTTTATAATTTTTTAATAAAGCATTAAATAAAACCTACGTTTTGTTTATAATTTTTTAATAAAGCATTAAATAAAACCTACGTTTATATAAAACATTTTTGTTGTCTTATTTAGACTCACGGACAGAATACATTGATAAATGTTCGATAGCTTAAATCTAGGACAGTGATACTTAAAAATATGAAACAGATCTTTATTTCTGTATTTTGTATTAAAACTTAAATTTCCATAAACATCTAGTTCCAATTATAACATCGAATATCGTTTCGCGAACAAAGAAATGTTGAAATATTAAAATGATCTTAAATGCGATTGGAATAGCTCGGCTTTTAAACTTTATCGATTTGAAAATGACCAGGTCACCCGAATGTGCGGCTATTTATCTCGCACGGTGGAATGCTGGGGTCTCAAGAGGCGGTTTATTGCGGGGTACCGATTCTCGGAATACCCTTGTACGGGGATCAACCCCTGAACGTGGCCTACTTCGTGAAAAGGGGGCTGGCTCTGAAACTGGATTACCATCAACTTTCATACGAGTCGACGATATCAAACGCTTTGAACGAACTGCTGGTGAACAACAGGTAATTAGAATCTTCGTTCTTCGTGCAAATGGAAATTGCGTGGCTCGTAGATACAGAGATGAAAAAAACAGAGAAGCTTCCACAGCTCTTTTTCATTATCCATCTATATTTGCCGAGCAATACCGTCGAATTAACCGAGCAATGAATTTTCAAACAGTTTGAAACAATCATCCTGTTTCATATAGCATACTGTTTATCATTAATTTTAAAATTACGTTCGATACCTTTTAAATTTTTAAAACCAAATTTAAAAGTATTCTAAAATTTAAATAAAAATAGGCCCATCCATTATTCACCAGCTTGAGATCACAATTACACAATTCGTGCACACGGCGAGCAAAAGGGAGAAACGTTTTTGCATTACAATCGTATCGGCAGCGTCCATTTGGCGGACGACAATCGGTCGATGATAAACGGGCAAGCAACGAGCGCTCAATTTCATTGCCGATTTTCGAATCGATCGCGCGTTAATTACCGCGCCATCCCATCCATTAATCGTTCGCATCGCGCGATGGATCATTGTTAACGATCGCGCGAGGCGGGAGCGTCTTAATCATTGAAAACGGCGAACGGAAAATGGACGATTGAAAATTTGATCGAGCCGTACACTCTCTATACGTAATCCCCGTTCCAGTTAAATTTGTATCCGGGAGTTAATTGGCCGAAGTTGAAAACCTGCCTCGAATCGTTGCCCCGCGACGGTTGAATCCGAGTTTATCCGCGGCTAAGATTGCGTGCAGGTGTGTGCACGGATCGAAAGTGGAAGAAATCGTTCGAAGAGTATTGCTTGACACGCATCCCCATCGTTTAATCTCGTCGAGAGCTTTTTCGTTAGCATTGGTTGAGCTAAAATTGGATTTGTTCCAATGGAAAGAATTTTTTTCAACGAACGGAGGAGGAAAGATTATTTTGAATATTTCGAATGTTTAATTATATCGATTGCGTGATTCACAGTTACACGGATATGGCGAGGAAAGCCTCTTTCGAGTTCAGGGATCGACCGATACCACCGTTGGACGAAGGAGTTTATTGGATCGAGTATTTACTCCGCCATGGGCCGGATTCGTTGAGGACAGCGGCAACGAATTTAACTTGGTACCAATATTTATTGCTTGACGTTATACTCGCGATAATAATTTCAATCGTGTTTACGGTATTTATCGTTTGTAAATTATTTAAATTATTGTTTTGGAGAGGAAAAATGTCGATAGATGTTAACAAGAAACGATCGTGAGGAATAATCCTACTACGAGATATTGTAAAAAAGTTGTTAAGATTAATTAAAAAAAAAGGAAAGTATTCCTTGTACAGATTAGACGTTATATTTATCTTTTAATATGTAATGATAAAGTTCTTTATGTGTTTACATAATAAATAATAATATTTATAAGTCGTATAAAAATATGTAGAAACATCTTTTGTCACGAAACGAATTTTTTTGCGTATTCGTCTAAGATGTTATCGATAGCGAGGGATTGGAACGCTGTGCTTCGAAAATGCTTTTAAAAGTCTCGGAAACTCGCTCGTTTTCTTATAAAATATTTGACAAAACGCTTTATACGAAATTGCACGAAGCAACAACTTCAGGGAAATGTGTATCTTTAAAAAAAAGACACTTTTTCCAAAAATGACAGTAAATATTGAAACTTTCTACGCCGTATTATTAACACCGGCAAAGAGATCATGGATATGGCTAGATAATGCAATAACGTACGAATTTTATTAATTAAAATTACAATTAGAAAATCAAATATTCGCGAAGAAATTATTTAAAGACTTAAATTTATTTAAAATTATTATTATTATTATTATTATTATTATATATGGAGATTCGATTCACTGCATACGAATAATCTTGCAGAGATATTTTTTTTCTTTTTTTCTCTCTTTTTCAAATACAATCTCGGCTTTAAAAATTCAGACGCGTTAACAAAGAAAGGAGAACGTCGTCCGTATCAGTTATAAGTGGCATCTTACACGACGAAAAGAAGCTTTTGCATATTCCAGCGTTATATCACTCGCGCTTTATTATGAATGCACGGACGTGGAGTGGCGAAACAGGAAGCCGGAAAAGTCAGCCGCGTATCCCTCTGAAAGAACGAAAGCGTAAAGTTATAAATTGGGGGAAGGAAGGAGGGGGAGGGTCGTATCTTTTTCGTCGACCTCGAATGCAATCCGATAAAGTGTTTAGACTTTTCCATCGTGGAACGAAATCCAAATGCAACAAACATGTCTTGTATAATTAATTCGATCAAATTCTTTCGTTTCCTTTTTGCATTTCTAATTTCGTAATTCCTTTCGAAAAAAAAAAATTTTTTTTTCTTTCAAACTGTGTATAAGTGGTATTGAAAAAAAAAAAATTGAAACGATTATTGTTTCATATGTAATTTATAACAAATAACATTCAATTTGTATTTACTTTAAACTTAATATTGAGTTAGACGATTAGCGCCAATTAAATTGTGAAACATCATTAATTTGGATGAAGAGTATCTAGCTTACATTCCAGGCTTGATTCGAATTATGCCTATATCTTAGGTTAAAATACATTCTTTGCTCTTCTCTCTGTTGGAATTATATTAAAAAAAAAAAAAGGAGCATGGAAGTTTTTTTTAAATATTATTCTCGCACAAAGCGAAAGGTTCTCTTTCGATATCCCTTTTTTTTTCTCTGTCAAACAAACATTAAAAAGGGAACGTTTTTACATTTGAACTTTCCACGTTTTTCTCTTGCTATACGTCAATTACTTTTTTGGTACGTTTGTTTCAGGCATCGCTTCAGAAAACTTATAACACGTGTATATATATATATATATAGTTTTGTAACAATTAGTAAATATTAAATTGAATGTATAAAAAAAGGAGGCAAAGAAAATATCCAGAGAAATGAGTGATCTTTTCCACTTTGACAGGCCTCTTATTATAAAAATGTTAAAATTCCTCTATCGCCAACGTTATAGAAAGGTAATCAAAGAGCCTGGAAGAAGCTCGCATTGAAATAATTTATCGTAGCGAGGAATCGCTTTGAAAGATGGAACTAAGAAAAGTGAGGGAAAGAAGAGACTCGTACCAAGGTTCTATAAACTATTATGATTTTTCTTTGGATCGGTTACAGTCTCATCCATTACTTTCCAAGTAGTTTTAAAATGGAACAAATTTTAATTGTGCAAAATTAATTGTGAAGAATCGAAAATTCATTTACCTGCGAGTATATAAAACTGTCCCGCGCACACTGGATTCGTATTCTAAATCCACACGATGAGTCGAATATAACATAAATCGTAAATTTATATTGAAAAACATATATTCACCTTTGATTAATTGCAACTACGTAATTGAGACGCGATGCTTCTCGATCTTACAACAACCTAATGATCCCAACGATGCAATTTTAATTGAGAAAGAAGAATACACGAGAGAGACGTTACTTTTTGTCGAACTAATCAGTTTACGGAAACTAGATGAGTTTCCACGCTCATTAGCTCGTTCTATGGTCCTTCTTTCTTTCTCATTGTTTCACGACAACGAGAAACAACAGGAAGAGGATAGGCTGTTACCGTCTAATGAGCCTCGTTCAACCCTCCCCCTTCTCTCTGTGAAAAAGCGTTTATGCTCAGTTCAGTTCCGTTTGAACATCGGGGCGAAGCGTTCCATCCATTCCATTCCGCGAACAATACCGCGAGTCGAAAGAAGAAAAAAAAAAAGAAAAACTTTCGCATCGTGCATCTTCATCGTGGCAACTTTTCCAATTCGAGATGGAGGCCAAACGAGAGGAGACGAACTTTGTCATTTCTCAAAATCTTCATTCGAATCAAAATGATTCTGAGTTTAGTCCAGCGAATTTTTTCTTCTCTTTTTTTTCTTTTTTTGTAGAATATATAATAAATATTCTACCCCCGATATATGATCTCCTCGAACAATTGAACCTTCGCATCTCATTTCACTGTGAACACGATACTCGTTGAAAAAAAAGAACCGATATTTAACCTATATGGAGATAGGTTAAAAATTGATACTGGTGGTAAGAAAATAATGGTGGGGAGCTTCCATCATGGTTTCGAAATTGTTTGAACGTTATATGAAGCATGGGGCCCTTCCTATACGAAAGGTTTTTATCTTTTTCTCTCTCGAATTCAATTAAAAAAAAAAAAAGAAGAAAAGAAAATGACGCGTAATAATTTATTGAGATGAATTTCATTCGCGCGTCGCAAAATACTTTCAATCGTTCCAATCGTTCGTTGAAGAATCGAACACCGAATCGAGAATCCTGAAATTTATTTACAATTTCTCGTTGTAAATTTGTAGGACGATTGCTCGTACGTGTGGCAAATACCTGCTGAAAATCGTTGTAATTGGGTGAGAGAAACCAGAGATTGCCAGACAAATTCTCTAATCCAATATACGGAAATATTGTTTTGTTATTTTACTTCCGAGAACAAACCTTTGTTCGTTTTTGGACTGATATTGATGGTCATATGGCTTTTATATATGTTTTTTATCTTGGGAACATCGGCAGATAATTTGTAAGTAATTTAATAAGTAAGAATAATTTAATCAATTGATCAAAATATTTCTTAATTCTAATTAAGTAAAACAATTTACTTGGATTAGAAATCTTTTTTTTTGAAAACTTCAAATTTATTCTTACATTTAATATTTCCAAATAATTTAAAAATTTCTCTACACTAGTCATCTAACAAACTCTCCTAATTTCTTCTTTCGAGAAATTGTTCGATTTTAAAAAAAAATTATTCTCACATCTTAAAGGACGGTCACTTTTTGTGCATCACTTTTACCCTTTTTCGTCGTTAATATCGTTTTTTTTGTTTTTTGCACTATTCATCGTTCACCTCGTAGCATTGATCAGAAGGAAAGAAAATCGCGAGATCATGAAACGGTTACGGGGGTGAATAAAATTTCTATGATTTTCCATAAAAGGCGCGTGATACCGATGGGCAAGGGTGACGCGGTAAAGTCTTTCACGGCACATTGTGCTCGGTAAAGGGTGAGTTATGGGTGATCGTGTGCGTGCGAATCCGACACATTCTCGATTCAATTTTAATCCGAACGGCCAAAGGGGAGCTTTATGCCGCGTCATTAAAAAGAAACGATCCACGCGGTCGCTCGCCACTTTCCGCCTCGATAAAACTCGAGCATGTAGCCAATAATGATCCTTGGATGTCGTCGTACGTAACTGAAATGCGGCGTAAGCAGTTACAATCTGTTACCTATCTCTGTGAATGTTCAATATGTGTAACGGTGATAATACCGAACGTACGATGCAATGGACCGAAAACAATGTGGCGTGAAAAGGATTGAGAAATGATATGGCGTTTCATCAAGAGATTCTATTCATATCGCAGATCGCGTATAAAATTATGATGTAAAACGTGGAATATACGATCCATGTTCATTGATTCGATAAGATAATAATAGAATTATTATATACGGCGTAGAACAATAACAATTGTAATGTGGAATATAGAAATGTAGAATTATAAAAATATTCAACGCCGGAAACAACCAAACAACCCGTCAAAATGACGGATTTCGTGTTTTTCGTTTCTACGATTATTGAGAACGTGGAGAATGTTTTTGACAAAATTGATATTGTAATTTATTTTTAAATTATTTGACGTATATTTACCTTCACATTATTAAATTTAAAAACTTTAAGTGGATAATAAAAAAATATATTTTTACAACGGTTGTTATTTTAATCGCGGTATAAATAAGAGCATCATTGGAGCAAAATAGATAATCTCTCGTATCACGAACGATATATCTCTTTCCAACCAACGCATCCTTCGAGAAAAGGAATTAATTCCAAATTCGCTATCCAATATCCTTGTCCCGCGTCAAATTACCCGCCACACCTTTCACCCACCTTTCCCCCCTCCCCACCCCTCTCCTTTCCAGCACACGGCTAAACGCGGGGGCCAAATAAACCCTAATTCATTTAGCATGGGGAACAGCTGTATTTAGAAACGCGGCCACATCGAAATTCGATTCGCGATCGAGGAGAGCGTGTATACGTACACGGGAATAAAATGGCGAGGAGCGAAAATACCGGGCGGATGTTGCCCACGGTGAAGAGTAACGTCGATGCACCCTGTACGAAAATCAAATATCGGAGGGGGGGTCGTAAATTAATCGTTATTTCCTTCCACCCTCTTTTCTCGTCCCCCTCTTTTCCGCAATCGGAAACGGGAACACGTTTCTCAAACGACACATCGATCGTTTATTAAGAACGAAAATATTCGTGAATAGATTCAAATTTTTCAACAATATCATGAAATCTGGTACGTTTCATGCAAGTTATATTACAATTTTTCAAATTTTATTTCATACCCGTTGATTTATCTTTTTTTTTTTTTTTTAACTTATAGAATTACCCTTCACCTTTTAAACTAATCTATACTTATACTAACAGGCTGAATATATATATATATGGTATATTTGATCGTACGATGCATAATAATTAAATGTACCATCCTCCTCCTGGCTACATTTTAATCACCACATACGATACGTAATTAACATTAATTAACGACACGTACACCGATTTCTTTATAAAAAAAATTACACTCTCTCTTCTTTCTTTCCTCTTCCTCCTCCCCTCTCCCTCCGCGCCCAGCTTCTGCCCGTCGCTGGCCGTGATAGCGGGCGTTTTGCGGCTGTCGGACAACATCGCCGGTGTGACGATATTGGCATTCGGAAACGGCGCGCCCGACATCTTCACGTCCCTCGTATCGGGCGCCGACGAAAGTATAATAATGTTCACGGAATTGATCGGCGCTGGTGTCTTCGTGACGACGATCATCGCCGGTTCCGTCGCCGTGATCAAACCTTTCCGCGTCGAGTTGAAATTTATGCTGAGGGACGCATGCTTCTACATCGTGACGGTGTTGTGGATCAGCTTCGTGGTACGGGACCACCGGGTTCACCTCTGGGAAGCCGCAAGTACGTACACCTCCAACTCCTTCAACCCCTTCCTTTTATTCCCCTTCCCCCTTATCTTTGTTCAATCCTGCCGGATTCGCAATTCTCCCCTTCCCGACCTCCCCTTCGGCCAACGGAATATCTCTAGGGTTGAACGTTGGCTAAGAAACTTTGGAGCAAGTGTAGGATGAGGGGGGGGGAGGAGGAGTTACTTGTAACGCGTTACGTTGCTAAGTCTGTTCGAAAGAGGATTTGGTATCTACGTTAGGAAAAATAAGTTTGATCGTTCGCGGTGTTGAATGGATAGAGATGATTTTCTTCTTTTTCTCTCTCTCTCTTTGATTCGGTGTATATGTAGAGTGGATATAGGGTTTTTTCTTTTTGGAATGGTAACGCGAATCGACTCGATGGCAGCGATGAAAATGATGTGGAAAGTAATTTTTATAAATTGTTCTTTTATTTCTTTCTTCTTTTTACGTGGATTGTCTTAAAAATACTCGTTAATTAATTAATTTCGTATAGTTTATAGTTAAATAGATTCTTGGAATTAAAAATAACGAAGTCTCCCTTCCGATTCGTACGAAATTATGCGGAAAAAGAAAAGGTTAAAAGATATAATGGTTGCAGAGGGTTGTGATCAAATACGCCCCGCTTCATAGAAATGAGAAAGTTTATCTACGGGCCGGCCATAAGTATGCAGTTTAATTCTGCAATAACGATAACTCCGGGGCGAATTTAATTAAGCAAAGCCACGATCTTTCTGCCTCCGGTTTGGTTTCATCGTAATTCGACCACCGAAGAATTTCTTCCGTGCTCCATCGATGAGCTTTCGAAGTTAGAAAAATATATATAAAAAAAGAAAAATAATAATAAAAAATAAAAAGTGGATAGAAATAAGTAAATAAAAAAGTGAAAAAAAGATCGAGCAAAAAATTAAATCGATGACACGAATTGTGAAAATACTTCGACGGGAAAGCAATTAAAAAATTTTCGCCAAAATTTAATCGATATCTCGTTCAAAAACACTCTTCCAGTGGGGAAAAAAATTGACAAATTCGCGTTGAAACAATTGAAACAATTAAATTGTACCCGCTCGACAAGATAGTGCTTATTATCAGAAAAACGTGTTGCGAATTCTTCTTTTTAAATTGTTACAGGGGAGATACTTTTTAATACTGATACATTTAATTGCAGGCTTTATTCTCTACTATTTCTTGTTCATCTTCGTGGTGGTGATGATGCAGATATACGAGAATCGGGAGGAGAGGTTAAAAAGTGCGTTTCACTGTTCACTGTGAAACTTTTCGAAACGCTTGACAAACCTGTCGCTCAACGGTTATGATCAAAATTGCGGAGGAAGAGCGGTTTTCAAGCCGCACAAAAATTCCTTCGTATTGAATCCACGATTTATTCCAAAAAATAACTTCCTTTTGTTTTGTAATCTAAACGGGAAGAAATTTTTAACTCGATATTACTCTTGAAAATGGAGGAAAAGAAAATAAAATATGAATAAATTCTAAGTGATGAAAGAAGAGCAAAAATTACGATTCTGGATAAAAATTTTCGATAAAAATTTTTTTCTCAGTTCGAAAGAAAAATTATTCATTCGTGAACTTATTTTAATACTTGTCAATGTTTACGAAAAAAAGAAAAAAAAGAAAAAATACATAAACGGATAAATAATAACAATTTATCAAAAATAATTATTTTGCAGGCGAAACTAATAGAATGCTGTTGAGCGTCTATTTGGTATGCACGATGCGCAATGTTTAGTGCTTAGGATATGCAATCGAAGTCAAACATTACGCAAATGTACATGCAAAGTTTGAAAGCGTTCCGAAACGAGTCCTTCCGTTTGCGAAGACAAAGAGATCTGTGCAAGTGTATCGATCCTCTCTCTCGAACTTGTATATATTTTTACAGAAAGAATCCCAGGTATAGCCGATGAAGACATCCTGCGTACGTACCTGGTGAACAAAGAGGATGACACCATTCCGGAGATTCCTATCAAGAGTCGTGCTGCTGGTTTACGAGCCAAACTTGGTACATGCAATTCACATTTACTTTATTAATCAATTAAAAATTGAACGGATGATTTCACATTTCCGTAGAGAGATTTTGTGAATCAAAGAAATTCAACCAAAGATGTCCAATTAATATGAGTTAATTTGAAAGCGTTATCGAACTGCGAATAACGATATATATTCTTTTATGTATTTAGATGTTGCGATCGCGGTCGAGTTGGAAAAACTAAAACTTAAAAAGAAAGAGGAGGAGATAGAGATCGTAGAGGAAGTTGGTAGACCGAAGGGTCTCTTCCAGGAATTTCTCTACGATATTAATCCGATATCGAAAGAAGACTGGAAAGATTCAAATACATTCGTTAGATTTATTTTAATCATACGTGCACCTTTCATGTCTATACTTCAATTACTTATCCCACTTGTGAGCGTGACCACCGTAAAGAGAGGCTGGTCCAAGCTGCTAAATTGCTTTCAGCTGTGTGTGACACCAACATTCTCGTTGTTTGTATTAAATGGTTAGTCGTATTAATTGTCGCGTTTCCTACCTCCAACGTTACGAATTGCCCGCACTAATAAAAACTTCAGATTTCACGGAAATATTTTATTCCACCCCGTGAAATAAAACACAAGCTCCCTCCCTTTTTGTTACGTACAAATTACCAGTGTTTAGTCGAAATTAAAACAAACTGTCGCAAATGTTATTTTTCGCGTCGTTACAACGCACAATTATTTATCTTCAACAAAATTTTAAACGTATTACTTATTATTAAATTACTAAGATAAGCAGTAACGTAAAAACTATATTCAAAAACGAACGTATCTATTCGCGTAATGCATCTTGGTAGAACTCTGTTAAATCGTATTAAAATTACAAAAACTTTAAACCGCTATATCTCCGAAGATACTGACTTCTCGTCGATGAATAAACGACCGTTGGAAGCGCGGAATCTTCCTCTTTAAAACGCTTTTTGATTTATCCCGATCTGACTTCCGGTTACCGAGATATCGTCGTGTAAAGAAAAGAGTAATTTTTAATCGTTTATTATCTCCGTTCTTGTTACTCATTCGCACCTTCTCGCTCGCACCTTGTCTCACTGACCTTTCCCAAACTGCAGACAAGTGGCAGCCACGATTCCTGGAAAAACGTAATACGCGGTTCTTGGAAGGGAGTAGTACGCATTTCCAGGAAAAAATGTAGGTCGTTGTCTCGCAGGCCCATTCATAATCCTCGCGCCTCGCCGTCTTATTATACGGAAACTTTGAATGCTTATATCTCGGCAACCAATTGAGATATCGGGATAAATCAAAAAGGGATTTAAATGGCATCGTATTTCCTCTATATTCTGAGCAGATTTTTATGACAAAATTTTAAAAAATTTTAAAATTTCACTTTATAAAAATTCCTTTTTGTTGTAATATAAATAGATTAGATATAGAAAATATAATTTAACATGTATTTCACATAACGCGATATATTTTCTGCACATTGGTCGAACGCTCGAACTTTTATTTCAGCTAAATAAAAATCCGCGGTCCACTTATTACGCTCGTTGTTCAAAAAACAAAAAAATGATTAAAATGGGTGGGATCGACAAAAAAGTTTTCCAGTTTTCATTAATTTTTAAAGTCGAAGATATTTTTGGTCACAACTGCCATCTCATTTCCACCCTCGTTCCAGTTTGGGCAGTGCGCATTGGCCCGATTACACTGGTGCCAATATTCCTGCTGATCGGCACCATATTCGGTATAATTGTATTTCTAATAACCGACAAGGATCATGTACCAAGGTTTCATGACGTGAGTAGTTTTCCTTGCCTTTTCTCTTTTTTCCTCTCTCTCTCTCTCACTCTCACTCGCGTCCGATCTTTCCGCCCTCGTTACTTCTTTTCTCTATAATCGGCCCCTCATAACGGCAGACGACAAATTAATTGCAGGCTTTCGCATTTTTCGGATTCTTCACCGCAATGATGGTGGTCTATTTGGTGGCCGGCGAGGTGATGGCAGTGCTCCAGTGCGTGGGATACGCTTTCAGTATGTCGGACGCCATGCTCGGTATTACGTTACTCGCTTGGGGAAACAGCATAGGTGGTGAGTGGAGCAAAGCTATTGCAAAATGTAATTCGTGCGTTAAATTGTTCCTAATCTACCTTTTGTGCGCTATGCTCGATTGAAGATGCATATGTATAATCATGTTATAAATTGTCAAAGGACCTTTACGCGATGATTGTTTGAACGGTAACGGGGAGGGAACAAAGAGATATATATTAGATACAATAACAAGCTACTAAAATTACAAAAGTCGCGGAGGAATAATTTATTGTTTGCATTATATCCCAGTTATGTGTTTTCGCGTTCTTCCCGCGAAATTCATATTATCAGACCTCTATTATTTTAGAATTTGATGAAGTTTGAGGGAAATGAAAGGTAAACAGTTGAACGAATCAAGTGATAATATATATTTTAATAATGACGAGATTTGGAAAGAAAAAAAAAGAAAAGGATTTGAAAATTTTAATTTTAAAATATTCAAAAAAAGAAATGGATAAAATTGCGGGGGGTATAAGAGTAGAAAACAGGGGATCATTTTATTAATTAAATTTCATATTAAATTTCACCCCGCCTTTTTCACTTTGCCTTTACTGAATACAGTGAAAAAAGAAACTGGATAAATTTCGCGATACATGAATTTTTTTTTAAACAATTAATATCCTTCAATGAAACTAATTTAAATAAATATAACGACAAACTCTCGTATAATTTATAGATAGATAAAGAATAATAAAAATCTCGATTCGATGTGCCATAAATATCACACGCTCTTAACGTTCGCTCTCCTCCGTCGTTTTTTTACTTTTCTTACTGGAGACTCACCTTCTATTAAATATAAATAAAACAAGCGATTTTATAACTTTATCTAACTACATCCATCGTTAAATATTTAAAAGGAAATTACATACGAAACGATCCAACTATCACGCCTCCCCTCCCTATTTACGTGATATCTGATTCATAAGATGGATTGATACCTGTCGAAATCTGCTTACAGATCTCATAGCGAATGTCACCATAGCCAAACGAGGATTTCCACGAATGGGTTATGCAGCTTGCTTTGGTGGACCGATGTTCAATACGCTTTTGGGATTGGGACTGACTTACGGGTTGGAAGCCGCCAAAGATCCAAACTATCTTACATTGATGAGATTGAGCGATATGGCGCCCGGTTGTTTGGCTTTCCTTGTCTGTTCATTATGCATGTCTATTATTTACCTGAACATCACCGGCGCTATAGCCAGAAAATCGTACGGATTCCTTTTGTACTCCATTTACTTTGCTTTCCTGCTCATTCAGTTACTCAGCGAATTTCATGTAATTCATCCGCTTGGTATCGATCATCGACCGGACATAGACCCGGAGGGGAATAAATAAAATTATAATAATATTCCTAATGATGGAAATAAAATAATAAAATTATTCGAAATAAAAACGGATAAAAAGGGAATATTATATTAATGTAAGGGATGATATAACATTCCTAACAGAGAGATGTATGATTTCTCGATAAATATTTACGTGAAAATATAAATAATATATGTATTATAGCGTGTGTGTCTACGAGGTCAAAATGCATATGCGTTGTATGTTTATTCTATGAGAGGAACGTAATAGGAATTCTTGAAATGAATAATTTTCATTCACTTTCTATTTCTTGAAATAACTTCTTCCTTTAGCTTGTTATTTTTTAATAATAGATAGAATCATTGTGTTTGAACAAAATATTATAATACTGGTTATAATTTTATAATTTAGAGTTCTTTTCCGTGTATTGGCAATCATTAAATCATGAATTCAGAAAGAATTTAGATACGTGATAATTAAATAATTTAGGGGAAATAGAAAGATGCTCTATTGATTAATCGAATTCATTCAAAAATATTGATTGAATAAAAATTCGTATTTCAATTATAATTATAATTCAAATTGATAAAATTTAAGGAAATTTTCATAGTTTTCATTGACAAATGAAAATTAATACTCGATCAATTTGAATTTTAATTTACCGATAATAAAAGAAGAACAATATCGTTTTATACGTTTTATACATAATTGTTGAAGCTAATGATACGATTATTAAAGTAATATACACCATATATACATACATTGTATCCACTTATTTCATAAAATTATCGATCGCTCTTTAACGTTGCTCTTAAACAATGTGAATACGAAATTAATATTGAAAATTATGAACGTCAAGCTAATTGAGCTGTATCAATAACTCGTCCGAGTTGAATTCATTTGAATTTAAAATTTAAACGAATCCTTTATCATATATCCTCCCCGTATAACAATAACAATTATCGGCGAAAATTTTACGCAAAATTTTACTACCTAACTTCCTCCACGAGAGAGATTGTACAAGAGGAGATGGAAACTAACGCGCGACCTTGAGGATATTCACTTAGCGGAGGTGAAAGGAGGGGAAGAACAATTCTCATAAATTTTTCACTCATAGGAGAGCCCCTAATAAGCGATATCATCCCCGGATCCACTCTATAAATTATTTAAGAAAGGGCGAGACTGGATGGAAAGAAGCGAGGGGGTGAACGTGGGCCGAGCTCTCTGGGCAAAAGACGTCTAAACGACGTCTACAAACGTCGTAACGATGTGGACAGGGATACATTTTTAACGGGTCTGCGTGGACTTGTGCATAACCATTCGAGAGTGGTATACGTATTCGTTATTCGAACGTGTGAAGCAACAGTGGAAGCGATGTTAGGTCCTTTTTCCGACATTTCCCCCGAGGATAACCGAAGGTGTTGTTGCGTTCTCCAAGTTGGATCCGCCAATCACTACAACCCCTGTGGTATCCGGAAGAAAACTATGGCCCTGTGTTCATACAAGACGGCTCCTCTGTGTGTTATATTGTTAGTTCTTTTTTTTTTTTTTTTTTTTTCTTTTACATTTTCCAGGTTGACATATTTAATTCAGGGCGTATCAACGACGATGGAAATGCTTAATTGAATATGTAATCGGGTGTGGGAGGTGTTTGCACATGTGGATGGACGGACGGACGAAAGTTCGAAGTTTCGAACGAAATTTCGATGCTTTCGATTTTGTAGTTGGATATTGGTACGTTGTAATTAAACTTAGATTCCTATAAAGTTGAATTTTGACACGTGTTTATGTGTATTTGGAAAGTGAATTAATGAAAATGTTTCGAATGGAGTCGGTAATTTTGGCTTCTAGTCTTGTGACGAAATAAGAATTGATTTTAAATATTAATTGAATATCGTTGCGAAGTTTATTTCTATTTATTAACACGGAGGAATTTGTCAAAAATTGTGTATCGTACGATGCGTCGATTAGAATGTTTTCGAATCGATGTATAATCTATTTCGTATTCAAGAACAATTAAATTTATCGAAGAGTGATGTAAATACTTCAAGGAGCTCTACCTTAGGATTATTACATTCTTAATCAGGATATCAGAGCTGATTAATTATGGAGATTTTAATAAATTTCTTCTTCGTAAGAACATCAAAAGAAGTACATAATTCAGAATTAAATCTACTTCTTACGGGGAGATATTTAATAAATAAGAAAGTTACAACGAAGAAAGACGCGTAAATTAAAAAATTAATCAAGATTGAAAATACAAAAAGTAATTTCGAACTAATCGTGTCGATTTCATGAATTATTATGCAGGGATAGTAAAATAGAAATTCGTATAATACGAATAGATTATTGATTTTTTTAAACTTTTATATTTCGATACCCGTGTACTCGTATGAGGCGAGTTGTGTTAGGATTATGATGGATTGGGTCACGAAACGACATATTGTGTCACATCAAAAAGTCAAGGACCGTGTCACCTCCTTGTTGCATTCACTTGTTAACAATTGCTATACACGCATTCGAATTCCGATCGAAAATCACGTTCCTGTCTCTACGTTCATTGTAAAACAATAGAATAGTTTCCAAATATTTGAACGTTGAATCTAGTGGTAATCCCTGAATAAAATTTCTGCAAACATGGGAGGAACGATTTCAAAAAAAAAAAAAAAAAACAAAAACAAAACAAAAAGAAAGAAAGAAAGAAAAAAAAATAACAGGGCAGAATTAAACGACAGAGTGACATAGATGATATTTTTGCATTTTCATATTTTTGCATTGCATCGAAATGAAAAAAAAAAAAGAAAAAAAAAAGAAGGGAGGAAAAATGATAGAGATTTGAAAATGTAAACTTGACGTATAACGCGATAAACTTTTCAATCGAATTCAAAATTAAAAACTCATGTTGCAAAAACATATTTTAATACTTGATATTATATTGCATAGCAATTTCTGAATTCCGTGTAATAAAAAAAAATTCAAGAAAAAGAAAAAAGAAGAAGAAAAAAAACGAAAGTGAAACTAAGCTTGAGCTTCATTGAAATTTTATAATACATTTTTTATTTCAACATCATTTCTTTGTCCAACGAGTTTTTCATTATAATTCCGTAGAGTGTCATTCCCTTGTACAAATTCTGCACAATGCAAACGCTCATTAAAACTAGTACTTCTTGTAGCAGAAAATTGAAACTTGTCTCCCTATTTTACAGTCTGTAAGGCAGTCTGTAAGGGCAACTGTACTTTTTTTCTTCCTTTATGAAAAGTTGGATATATTTAATTGAGAGGATATTAAGAGAATGTACGCAACGTATAAAGGTTTAGAAACGTTTTAACGTATATATTACGTATGTATTTTGCGGATACGTGAATACGTAAACACACGAAAAGCACTTTCACAAGATTTTAAGTTTAATTATGTTGAGAAGAAATTTGCTTTAATTAAAAAGTGCATGGCAAAATGTGTCTGCTTATCTGCTTATGCTGTATTATGTTCCTTTGAACACGTTTTAATTACTTTTTTAAATAGTAAAAAAAAAAAGAAAAGAAAAGAAATACGTATCGTTGAATCATCGTCACTCGATGTTCGTACATTTTAACTTAATAAGAGATGATAAAGAATGAAGAAGAAATAAAAGAACATAAAATATATCGTTTCTCGAATTTTTAATTAACTAAAAAAAAAAAAATAGAAATTATAGCGAATAGAATAAGTTTTATATTTTAAATAAACAATAATTCGTTCGATTGTAAATTACCGAAATGTATACTTCCTCGTATACATCGTGTAAAATCCTATATTTTTAGAAACGTTTTTCAACATCATCATCTATGCATGCAAAACGAATAGTGACAGTGTTGTAGCAGCTTGGAAATCCAGTTGCATAAAAATTGCAAAGGAATCCTGCGCCGTTACACGGATAAAACGGAACGAACAACGGTCTGCGAAATTGCTTACATGAAACTTCACGTCAAAACTGCAAAACAATTTACACTATCTCGCGTTACGACGTTTCAAACGAGGCAACCCGGGATATTGGAACGTTTCCTCGAATAAAATCGATATATTATAGAAATTCGATCGATCGATAAGCTTCGATACCTTGCATCCTCTTCGATTAACGAACAAACAAAATTTTCGACTTGAAAATTTCGACTTTTCTCCTCGTAATTCAAATCGATCGAAATTATTAATACTAAATCTTGATACAATCTTTTTAATAAATAAAAATAAAAATAAGTCGATTTTTTTTTTCTAAATCCGTGCTGCACAGCGAGGAGGCACAACTGTCGCCGAATTTCCACCGTGCATCGCAGAGGTCGAGGTTATTTTACTTCTTTCTCCCGCGGTGGGAGACGGTGGCGACGCTGCGAAGCAATAAATCAGTTTTTCCACTCCAGACGACGTATGCCGTGGCGTTGACGCTTCCTTCTTCGTTACGTTATCAGGCCGGTTCTCAAGGGAGGGTCGAAAACGAAATGCCTGGGAGGCCGGTGTCAGGGGTTGGGGGGAGAGAGGTGCTACATTATTCGTGCCACCGTTCTTAACCATTTCCTCGATCCACCGCCGCTATTTTTTTTTTCTTTTCCCTCCCCGCCTAGGCTCTGCACTCGATAGACCAATTACTCGTCCTCGAGTGTCGCTTCATCTTCAACTTTTGATTGATCGATGGATTGATTAGTGTTTATTGTGGCTGTCTTTTCGTTACCTTTGATCGATCGTAAATTTTTCTTTTTCTAATTTTTCCATATAATGATGCAAGAAGAGTTTCGACGAGAATCGTGAGCTGCTTCGGAAGAATAAGGACTTTTCTTTGTACGAAACATCTAATTTCGTCAGGATATCCAATAAAAAAAAAAAAAACGTGGAATCTAATTAAGTATTTTATTCCAAAGAAGTCTAAGCCTTTTGAAGTCTCTTTTTGCATGGAACGGTGCAATTATAGTTTATGCGGTTTACATAATTCATTAAATAAAGGGGAATGAAAAGTGAGTGAAAAATTAAATAGATAATATGATAAGGCTTGATAAACGAAAACGATTGCCATTAGAAAATCACAAAGAAGTTCTACGTTGCGTGGCAA